TGTATGAAACCTAATGGGACATGGGGACATTAAGAGAAAAACAGCTTTGTTTACTGGCCTGGTTGTAATGAGCTCACCGAGGTCAGACGTCTTGAGTAGATAGCACAAGGGGAGGGTCTTATTTTTGTAAGCCCCTCTAGAATTCGTGATCAACGAATGTTTTCAGCTTTCTCACTAACAGCAGGAGAACTGTTAAAGAGGAGACTTTTGGGGGACCTGAAAAGGCCACTGGTCAGTCCTCCTCTGAGGAGAAGGCAGGAAGTAAAGGTTCCTGAACTGAACGGGTGCTGCAGATAACGACTCAACACAGAATGGTTTTGTTTTCAATTCTGCAGTGTGGCTGACCTTTTCTTGTTTGGTTTGCTTTACCCAAGACACTGCTGATGCAGCGTTGAAGAAATAAGGTTGCTTGTTTTTCCAGATTGGAGAGTTGAGCATCCTGCCTAAGTTTAGCCACTTTCCTAGTACAGTTAGATGCAGACAGTGTTGAAACCCTGGAAACAGAATCTAAGGGTAAGCCCTGGAGGTGCATGCTCCCAAAAGGACAGCACAAGCTTTCTCTGGTATGAACCTTCCCCGTATATAGTTAACAAAGATTACTTGTTTAATTAGTTTATTTTTGTTAGGTAGGGAACTGAAGTTGTTTGTGTGAAGTTCTGGCCAATTAAGATTCTAGTAGAGCAGTCACATGGCTGCCTTATCCATAGATGCCATCAGCATGCCCTCTCACCGCCTTTGATTTAAGGGAATGAAGAGCTTTGCGAGCTTAACCTGAGCTTAGTAGGACCTCTTGCAAATGTGCAGTACAGAAAAATCTTAGCATACACCCGTTAGTCCCTTTTAGGTTATCCTTTAAATAGTTTTTGACTAGTTTGTTTCCTTTCTTTGACGGGCTCTTTGGACACACAGGCCTTCTCAGAGGATCTAGCTTAGGAATTGGCTCTCCCAGCCCATGTGGAGGGCGGGTGGTCCTTCTATCCCAGTGTCCATCAACCCTAGACTTAGTCGATGCAGGTTGATCCAGTGGGTACTTAGGCTAATGAATGTAAATCATTTTCCTTGTTTAAAGGAGTCCTTCTTGCTGAAAGTAGATTATTACTATCGCTGTAGTGTTATGGAAGTATTAAGTTTGTGCTGAAAATCCATTGCCATTTGGTACAAATGACATTTGTTCTTTCTGTGAAAGAGAGATGCCCTCAAGTGTGTTTGCACACAAACCCTTAGGATAGAGATAGAGCATCACCCTCACACTGTCTTCAGTGACGGGTGGTGTTGCAGGGACAATGCAGCAGGTGGGCTCTTCTATGTCATATTGTCAGTTGCTCTATAGGCCCTTTCCCTCCTAGTTCAGTCTAACGTTAGTGTTTGCTTTGCTGTCTCATGTGTTGAAGTGTGTTCTGTGGAAGCTGACATCCCCTCTCAGGCTGTGCGGGGTGCACATGTGGATTTGGAACATGCTAACAGCCCCATCATCAGTACCACGCTTCCCTGTTGAACACATCTGCAGTTTTCAACTGGAAAAGGAAATAAAACCTACTAATGTGATGTCCTAAAACAAAAGCTGCTAAAAATTGTAAGAGCAACCCAAGAAGAGCTAAGTGACTGGAAAGGGTTTCTGCTCTGACCAGCCCACTTTCCTGTGGCTGCACAGCCTTCTGTGGTTGCCTTCGTTGGTATAGCCAGGCCTTCACAAGAAGAAACGGTTAGGAAGAACATAAGCACTTTCTCTTTTGCAAGTGGGTAAGAACAGTTTCTTAGCGTTTCTAGTATCCTCATCTTTACTGTGGGGAGCCTTGTTTCTACATGTTTTAGAGCATGCTGGGTTCATTGTAAAACTGGTTAACCATTTTTTTCCAGGTGAAAACTACCTTTTTGGTTTGGTTTGAAGGTTTAAAAAAAAAGGGAAGGGAAAACTTTGTTCTTTTAATAATTACGTTCAGCTGATGAAGTATTTGATTACTAGACAGCAATGTCACTAATAAGTTTTAAGTTGTCAGAAATTGTGAACAGTACAGTATCTTAGTCATGGTAAAGATGTCTTCAAATAAATGGCTCATATTTTGGTGCAGTGTTTGATGTTCAAAACAAAATGTTACAATAATAAACATAAACTATATATTTGGCTCTTTCCTTCAGGGGCTATTTGAACCATCTTCTCTGTACTCTTGCCATAAATTGATAATTTCCATAAATTAACATTTGCTGACACTTCAATTTGTCTACAGAGGAATCTATTTTTGTTGCTAAACTTTAAAAATCTGATTCCAGAAGTGAAGCTCCACCCACAGGAACTAACCTCAACCTCTATTGTTTTGTAGATATTGACAGGAAATGGTTCCTTCATACATACATGGTTTCTCTTGTGGTTTCTCTTATAGTCTGGCTGGGCCTACATCAGCCCTTCATCATCCCAAGAGTCCTTCTCCCTTAGCACCTGCCTACTTAACAGCTCTACTGTACAGAATTGCTGTGATCTTTGAGCAGATCCTCCCCCTTTCCCCCCCCCCCCTTCCCGGCAAGATTTGAAGCATGGGAAAGCTTTTTATTTAACCCTTCCTCACCGTGATGATGGTGATGGGAAAAGAACTAGAAAAGAGCTCAGATAGGGAGTATGGTTATGATGGAAGTTCTTATTCATAACAGCTTCAAGTGCCTGAAAGAACCAAACTCCATTGTGTGTCCTTCTATGAAAGCCTGAACTCCTGGGTAGTTTGAATGTATCCTTTTTTCCTTCACAAATGTTATAAGGAAAGCACAGATATTTTTTGAAAGTGGATGTGGGGGTGTGGGCAAAGCCATGTTCCAGAGCATGGACTTAAATATTTCCATAAATACTGTTTTCCTTTCAAGCTTCAAATAATTTATGGCAAATAGTCTGAAAGAAGATAGTCACTGGCAAAGCTTTAAGTCATGTGTTAATCTAAAAATGATTTACAGTGGAGCTTCCGTTGATTTGTGTTCTTTAAAAACAACTATTAAAGGATACCTGCAAAAAGTGTTTAAGTTAGGTCTATTGTTAGTGTGACCTGTGGGAAGCAAAATGTCCTCACCCTGTCTAATCTTAAATACTCTTTGATCTTTTTCTCAGCAGTAACTCTTGTCAGAAGTTACCTCAGCCTGGCATGGTAGGGCACATCTGTAATGGCAGCTTCTTGAAAGGCTAGGGTAGACAGAATTACTTGAACTCAGGAGTTGAGCTGAACTAGACAACATTGCCAGAACCTGTCTCCAAAATCTTTAAAAACAAAAACAAAAACCACCTTTGGCAGTACTGGGGTTTGAATGTGAGGCATTGTACCTTCCAAACAGATTGTCTTGAGCCATATCCCCAGCCCTATTTTTTGCTTTTATTTTTCAAAGAGGGTCTTGCTTTCCCCTGGACCAGCCTAGATCATGATCCTGTATACACTTCCCACGTAGCTAGGATGGCAGGCGTACACCATGTCCAACTTTTTATTGGTTGATAATAGGACCGTATCAATTTTGTTGGCCTGGCCTCAAAGCAAGAGCCTCCTAATGTCTACCACCTAAGAAGCTGTTTTTAAGGTAGGATCTCACTAACTTTGCCTTCAAGGTTGAGATGCTCTTGCCTCTGCCTCCTTAGTAGCTGGGATTATGAGTATGTGCCACCACACTTAGCTCTCAAGAAACCGTTACCTAAGTCACAGTGTTTAGTTTGTACCTCTGACTCGATTTCAAGACTTCAGGGATGTGCTGACTTGTTAAGAGACTGCTCTAAAGCCTCTGCAACCCTTAAGCCTCACTGACCTTTCTTGTTTTAGGAAAAGGCAGGCTCTTCATTTCTAAACTTACATGACCTGGATCTAGCCTTCCCATTTTATCTTGTAGTGAACACAGGCTCCAGCTGTCATCAGTCTTAGTGCATCTTGACTGTGTATCCAACAAAGGCAAAACACTAAGGAGGACCAGGTCGTGGAGTAAAAATAGTTTTCTGTCTGCTCCTTACAGTTCCAGCTATGCAGCATGTCCTCTTTGGCACTAATGCCTTTTTTTTGTTAACTGTGTGAGAAGAGGGTGAGAGCCACATGCATGTGCTAACTGGCTTTTCCTGAAAACACCATGCTTGGCTTTTTTCCCATGAGTCATTTCTAGGACAGTCAAGGATACTCAGATGGCTACCCTCGCCAATTCCCAACTGTAGAAACAAGGCCTGAGAGTGTTGTTCTCTTCCTGAACAGTGGTCCAAATTTTAAAGTACAAGAGCAAACCATAAATGAGTTTCCCTGTTTTTGAGACAGGGTCTCTGAAGCCCAGGCAGGCATCAGACTTCTGTCTCAGCCTCCAAGTGCTGGGGTTATAAGTGTATACTGCCATTATCTGCGAGTCTTGAATTCTTGCTTCTCCCCAGCTGGAGTTGAGAATACTAAAAGTAGACACTGGCCACTCTGAAGTTTTCTTTATAGACAGGCTGAGATCCTCTTCCCCCAGCCAGATGCAGGCCAAGGAAGAGAAAGAGAACTTGTTTCTCCCATCTACACCTTTCCCTGGGGCCCTAGAGAAGTTGCCCGTCAGTTTTCCCACCTTAATTATTAGCAAAAGCCACCTTGTGTTGATGCTTCTGGGGCTCAGGAAGGGTTACCATGCCTGGGCCTCCTAGAACACAGTGTGGAGGCTCTGGGGAGATGCCTGCCTTCACAGATCATCTCAGCTTTCAGCCAGCCATGTGTTTTGTTGAGCCTCTTGTTGCTTAGGAACCTGAGTTTGTAAAGCTGTATCTGCCAGTGAGCCATGTAGTGGAACGATGAGGATTTGGTCTCATTAGTGAAATCAGACCTACTGATAAGACCTGAGGCCTCCCCTGGAAGAGCCGTTCTCCAGCTGTGGAATTGGGACAGGGCAGCTGGTCTCAGAGCACCTCACAGCAACAAAACCCAAGTAAGTGTATATACCCTGAATGCTTATGGACAGTGGTTTTATAGCTGAGATTTTGGTTCTATGATTAAATGTTGGCAGTAACTTCTAATCACAAGGCACCAGAAATAACTTAAAGTGGTTTGTCTTTATTGATACTCCCTGTCTTTGCACTTAAGTAGCACGTCATATAAGGAGCCCAAACAGTCTCTGGTATATCACCCTTCACATCAGGGATGAGTCCCAGGCAACAGTGGTGAGTCAGGCACAGAATGGCCCGAGTTGAAAACTCAGGGTCCTGGGGCAGTGGCATGGGCCACAACAGCACTTCAGTGTTTAAACTTTCTCCTGCATGCAGTGTACAGAGGCAGTTGGCTACAGTGTTGTTTTCCAGTGAAAACCAGCTATGAGTGATGGGCATCGCACCTGCTCTTACTCCATCAGCAGCAAGACGCAGTCCTATGGCGAAGCAGTGAGACTCCACGGGTAGCACCAGGTAGGCCCAGCCCAGGACCTCATGCAGAGCAGAAGGCTGGGAAGATGCCAGGGAGGAGCAGAGCAGGCCTACAGGTTTCAGCAAGAGGGCTTCCCAAGTCTTTCAGTTGTCCAGTTCAGAGTGGCCACGTTAATCACATGACCATGGGGAGTGGCCTCACAGTGAGGTAAGGCCTTCATCCTGGGGGAGGTGGAGTGGCGGATGCAGAAAACTAGACCGGTGCTCCATTTACATACATCAGTTGAATATATTAAGGCTTTGGAGTTTTTACAACCCTCCCTCCCTTCTTCCCATCCCTCCTAGAGGCGGGCAAGGAAAGGATATAAGAAAACCCCACTAAAGGTGGAATACATTTCGTCAAAGTCTGTGTGAGCCAACCTGCCCCCAGTCACCACGACGTTGACTCCGTCTCCTGCCTTCAAGTGCACAATGAGGTGGAATGCGCCTGGGCCCCCACAAGTGTGCACAGCCCCAGGGGGGTGGTGGTACTCCAGGAACTCCCTCCTGTACCCCGCAGTGTGCAGCTGGGCCACGCTGGCATTGGAAACAGACAGGACCGCTTCTACATAGGTGTCCCTCTCAGGGGTGAGGGTGGCCGTGATCAGGTAGCGCCCGTCGTAGGGAGCAGTGAAGATCCCTAGAAGGCAGACGGGATGGTAAGTCACCACCATACCTACCTGCACTGTCACGGACAAACTGCTCCTTGTACCAGTGCATTGTTTGCTGCTTGCAGCATCTAAAAGTGAGCAAGTAACTACAGGATTAAGCAGTGCAGCTGTAAGTCCACCTAGGCTTAGCCCCATGTTCCAAAAAAACTTGGTCAAGGCTCAGCCTGTTCCCACCTAAGGCTTGATGGGACAGAAGAGCCTGCCAATTCAGAGGGCTCTGTGGTGTCTCTCCTTGAGCATAACACAAACACCCTTGCCACCAATCCAGAGAGAGGCAGCCTCTGAAGTTTTATAGCCAGGAGACCCTAGCTTTCCTATGGGAGGGCCTATCTCCAGTATATAGATGGCTGGTGCTTAGGGCCAGGAGATTTCTAAACGTTGCAGCCACATGGTATTTTGCTCAAGTGAGCAAATGGCTGGAGATAGGACAGAAGAGGGTGCCTGATCACAAATGCCACCCAAGTACCTGGGGCTCGAAATGGCCAGGCCACCCCAGACCTTGCTTTAATGAGCAATGTATAGGTACTGGACCCTTCCCCAGACTTTCAAGGACAGAGAGGGCTAGTGCTGGGAATGTGGATGGAGGGGGCAAGTGCAGATTACTAGTCGGCTAGCAAAGATCCGCTCCAAGGCCACAGCGGTTCAGAGCAGGGGCCAGGAGGTAGCCAACTTCTCTGCCTTCAGGCATGGCTTTTCCTAGTTATGTGGTGACATTTCACATTTCAGAGTCACTGCCTTGGGACAGGGCACTTAGCTAGATGGTAATGAGGTTGCGAATGGCTCGTGCCACCTGCCTTTAAGAACAGCCCCGGGGTCCAGGGAGGCAGCCCTGTGGGCGGGTCAGGGGCCACTGTGGCAGTGCCTCTCCCTCTACACAGCGATGAGGACAGACCCCCGCCTTTCCAACGGCAATTTAAAAATGAGCAGCATTCCACTGGAGAGGACTGATGTCATAACTAGAAAATGCGGCTGCCCTCACACCCTGTGCATCCTGCAAGCCTGTGCTTTGTGAAAAGCTCCCCCTTCTGTGGGCCTCACATCCACAGCACTGGCAGGGCGCCGCCTGCCTTTGAGGAGACAGGAGCAGATTCCCTCCCACCACTCACCCGTGTTGGGGTTGTAAACGTCCCCATCGTTCACCAGCACCTTGTTAAAGAGCACGACACCCCCGTCACTGGAGAAAGGCTTCTGGGTAAGTCCAGCTGAGAAAGACACCAGGGCAGGCACCGGGGCCCCTGGGGAAGACACACAAGTGTTGGACTAGGCTCCCATCTGGGGCAGGGATGGTGGCATGGCACAACTGGACACAGACTATGCTTCCCACGTCAGATCAGCAGTGAGGATGACTGGGGAACTGGCCGTGCACGGAGAGAAGCTGTATGTCCACTTGTGTGGAAGGCAGGGACAGATGCGCATCAGGGACTGTTCCAGGGGCTGCTTGCTTACTGATGAACCATCGAAGCTGGACCCCCAGCCAACTTGTTGGGACCCCCACAATGTATAGACCACCCTGCAGTCCCTGGGGAGAACTGGGGTAGTGTAGGAGGGAAGACTTGTCTGGGGCCTCCCTGGGGGCGGGGGTCAGTCCACGGCAGTCAGCTGAAGTCTAGCCAAACAGCCCATAAGAAACAAGGGAGGCGAGTGGGACCATAAGCCAAGGAGAAACATCTGTCCCCATGTCTAGAGCTGACATACCTGGAGGTGCTACAGGCGGTGACTTGGGGTAGCCTGAAACAGACATTGGAATGTCAACAGCAGCTAGTTTTTCATTACCTCTTCATTATTAAAAACAGCAAAGACGTACCCGGAGCTGAGTTACTAGAAAGGGGGGCACACTGCACCCCCCTCTCCCGCATCCCTATTAAGGCTTGCTGCTTCTGGGTAGGTAAAAGGTCACTGAGGGCAAGAAGATACTGATACCAGGATGGGCAAATTCACCAATGTCTCAACAGAGGCATGCAGTCACTTTTTGGAAAATGCAGGCGTGATTGCTGCAGCTTTGGCCAAAAAGAAAAGCAGAACACTGTCTCCTTAGTAACGTCCCAGGCAGCTACCATGCTTCTCAGCCCGTGACAGACTGCCCGTGAAGATCAATCTGGAAGGGTCTTAGAGCTGAGCCCCACGGCCCAGTTCCCTGTCTATAACAGGCAGTACTGGCCTCCAGTGGTTAGGACATGTGCTTCCGCCTCCTCCACTTCTACTTTTACTCTGCCTACATTTTACTCTGCAGACATTTCATAGCACCTGTAGAGTACTTAGTATGCAAGCAGAGAGTGTCTTGGGACTGGCTAGTCACTGCCAGGCCCCTCCATGGCTCTACTTCCATTCTAGCCCCGGGCCAGTCTCTGGGGTGCCTCAGTATCTCTTCTCGCCTTAGGCTCCTTGGAGGCTTCCTTTCTCAACTTGCTCCACAGAAGGCAGGGGTTCCCACAAAGCGCATGCAGAGTCTGTGGGTCCCCTGGGCTTACCTGGTGCTCCCGCGTAGCCCTCGGCACTGGGAATGGCAGCCTGGCCTGTCTGGCCATCCACCCCATGGGGCAGGCCCCTGCCTGACACACCCATCCTCCCTGGAGGTCCTGCCTCTCCAGTCTCCATGATGACCCCTGTGGAGCCAGGCAGGAGGGGCAGGCCTGGCCAGCCACGTCGGGAAGGAGGGGGCAGCGGCTGCAGGGGTCTCTGGGGCAGCACGGGCTGCTGGCCGATGTGTGGGGGAAGTGCAGGCTTCTCTGGGGACGGTGGCCTGGGCTGGGGTGGTTCTGTGGGGGCCTCCTCCGTGGAGGGTCCTGTTGGCACCTGTGGGGCCGTCTCTGCCCGGGGCTGGGGCGCTTCCGTCGGCTCCTCTGCTAAGCAGGGGGAAAGCAGAAAGCAGCAGAGGGTTAGAATGTCTCCAGGCCATTGTTTAGTCTCAAGTTCCTTACCAAAAGGGCTGTGCCTGTAAGGCTCTTATTAGCATTGTCCACGGAGAAACAGGGGTATTGTTTCCACCAAGATTTAACCAAGCCGCCCCACAACTTGGGGACTGCTGACTCCAATCTGGTTCTGAGACGGTCTCACAATGTATCCCAGTCTGGCCTTGAACTCACAATCTTCCCAGTGCTTCAGATTATTAAGAAAAAGCACTGGATTTATTACTGTATGGGGAGCCATTTTGGGGCTCAATAAAGGGCCTTGATGAGCATGTTGGCAAGAGCTCCACTGAAGCCCATCCCCAACTGCCTGGTGTTAGTTGAAGCAGCTATGGTCACACTGCCGTAGGTCCTCAGGGGGAGCTAAGAAGGCCGCTGAGACCCAAGCTGGGCAGCAGGATCCAGCCTTTGGTACTCCCCCAAACAGCAGCTTTCTGGCTGCAGTGCTGCAAATTTTCCCAGTTCCATGAATGTTCACACCATAGATGAGGCACACATCACCAGCAAGTTGCTGGTGCCCCTGACCACCACAGCGTCCAGACAAGCCCGCCCCACCCACACCCTCCAGAGCATCAGCAAAGGAACTTCCCAAGGGGAACCCCTGATGTGTGCTTCTGTGCCTTTTGAGGTGGCCACTGGGACTCAGCCGGAAGCTACTGCCCCGTTCCTCCTCTGCAAACCTTCCTGGAACTCGCCTTCCCTGCACAGGCCCTTCCTGATAGTGCATGAGACATCTAAAAACTACCGGGTGTGGCTGAGAAGATCACTTTGTTACAGTAAAGATCAGCCAACTGTACCCGCCTGGTTCCTGCAATGCCTTCCAGTCCAGAGCTGTCCAATTTCAAGTAGCCAATATGAGCAATTGCATTTGGACCTACTGTCAAGGTTTGCTTTAGAATTCATGAAGGTCAACATGGCAGATCAAATACATGCTCCCCTATATACCCAGGGCCATTTCCCCCAAAAAATAACTAAATGCCTTTCTTAGCCAGTGCTTCATGAGAAAAACCCTACAAAAAGATGAGTGTCTGTCTCACTTCTCCTAAAAATGGTACTAATTCCATTCCATACATAGAAAAACCAGATGTGGTATGGCACACTATTATCCTAGTACCTAGGAGATTTACTCAGGAAGATCACAAGTCCAATGCCAGCCTGGACTGTATAGCAGGCTGTGAATCTTGAAAGGAGAGAGGTTAATTGATTCCATCCAATGGAATGACACCAAGCTTCAATTCTCTTTCAGAACCCTTACAGATTACAGACATTGTAGCTAGGGATCTAGCTCAGTGGTCCAGTGTTTGGCTAGCATACATACACAAGGCTATGCATTCAGTCCCCAGCAATGGAATAAAGTACTGTTTAGTAATTCAGACATATAGACATCAGCCACAGTGAAGAGGAGACAAAACTCACTGAAGATGACATTTGTTGCCCCTTTCCTGCTCCATTGCAGCAACACTTGCTTAGAGCTGTGGTAGGACAGTCCTTCAAACTGCACAATAATGACGTCTACTCTCGACTACCTGTTAGCTCCCAGGTAAACCTGAGCCAAAGTCACCCAACATGAGGAATGTTACCAATAGGAAAGAAACAAGCAAGGAAAGGGAACTCAGACATACTGCAAGAATGCAAATAGCAGCAGCTTTGAGGATATAGAAAACCAAGATGTAAGGGCTGGTGGAGGATGGGGCGTAGTAGTTGGCATAGAGTGAAGACCAGCCTAGCATGCGTGAAGCCCTTGATTTCAAACCAAGCACAAGAAGGATAGTCAGGGAAGAATAGTGAGCTGTTTGCCAGCCAGGCACAGTGGCACCTCCCTTAGTGTCTGCTGCTTGCCATTTGGAAGGCTGATTAAAGAGGATCCTTGGACCCAGGAGTTTGTAGCCAGCCTGAGCAACATAGACCTTGACTCAGAAAAAAAGCATTTTGCACCAATCTCTCTCCTTCCCCACGGACTCCGCCCGCCCCCCCTTCCTAGCCCCAGCCTTGTAACTCAAATTGTGTCTCCCATCCCAAATCTGAAAGTACTTTTCTCCAGTCCTATGACCCTGGACAAACTGTAGTTGGCAAACTATATGCTTCTGCTATATACAGACTCCTCCCACATTCCTTCCCTGTGCTCTTCCTCTAAGATGCACCATTGTTGTTCCCATCCAGGCACCCGTAGTCGTATTTTGTACCCCTTCATTCGCTCCTCCCTTTCCTTTTCCTGTACATCAGCTCTTGGATCCTTTGTCTACACTGTTTCCAGCATGATCTTTAATCCTATCTTGTGCTCAATAAATAAATCAAGCAATCTCCTCTGACATTCCCCACCTTCTTTATTAGTGCCAAGCCCTCCAAAGGGCTGGGCTCCGTGGCTTTGCTGTTGCTGGATATAACCTAGAACACTCTTCCTTACTCCTTCACGAAGCCCTCTGAGATCTGCACCGTGAGACTTGAACAATCTTAGCTCTAAACTTGGAGGCCATTTAGGCTTCCTTCTCTGGGTACCTGGGGCACTGCTCTGGGCGTGGTGCGGGCCTAACCCCTGGCACTGAGCAATACAAGCATTCTGTGAATGAAAGGAGGCTGAGAAGCAGGTAGCACTTGTCATGCTCCAATTCCTGCCAGCCACTTAACCAGACTCCCTCATTCTGCCAAAATCTGAAGGTAGAGCTGTGGCTCAAGTGGTAGAGCACCAGTCTTGAGGAAAAATAGTCAAGGAATAGCACAGCACCTAGGTTTTATGTTCAAGCCCCATTACTGGTGCACAAACACACACACACAAAGTTAAAACACTGTCATAGAACAGTGAGTCACATCCCTGGTGACTCATGCCTATAATCCTAGCTACTGAGAATTGTGGTTCAAAGCCTACTGGAGTAGACACATTGAAGAAACTCATCTCAAACTAACCAGCAAAACGCCACAGTGGAGGTGTGACTCAAGTGGTAGTCCACTAAGCAAGAAGGTGAGACCCTGAGTTCAAGCCAAGAAAAACAACAACAAAAAAAAGCTATCAGCATCTAAATGAGACTGTCCCTTCTTAGAAGTGTGACTCAGAAAGAGACTTCCTCCACACAGCAGTGTTTCTCTGTCGCCTTCTTCCCCAACATCAGCTGGCGTGGGGAGGTAGGGGTGGGGTCCACATCACACTAGGCCAGGTGGCTACACCAGAGTGGGACTCTACTTCCCTGTGGTTTGGGATGCCCGTGTCACAGGCTGACTGGAGGGCAGGCCTGGGGCCACAGTGAAGGATGGCTGGAACTGAGGGACTCAGGGAAAGAATGCCTAAGGGATGGTCTAAGGACCGACACCCTTGCCCATCTGTGGAAACAGGAGCAAGGTGTGGAGCAGGCCCAACCCTGACATCCACCGCGCACAGAGAATGAAGGACGGGGATCCCTTTCTCATAACTGCATTTGTTCAGAAGTACTTGTGCATGAGGCTGGTGAGTGCTTGAAGGGAAAGTGTCTAGGTTTTGCACCTCCCATTTGGCCCCTAATGTAGAAAAAGGAAAAAGAACGGTGAAAGACATTGTGGCTACCAGCAGCTCTCCAGCTTACTCACCGGCCTGCTTTACGGGAAAAGAAAAGGTTCCAAATTCAGCCAAGGAGCAGATTCAGCATCCATCACAGAGAACAGAGGATGAGGTGAAACACTGGTAGCTCATGCCTGTAATCCTAGCTAATTCAAGACCAGCCCAGGCAAGGAAGTTCATGAGCTGGGAATGAGCAGCTCACAACTGTGACTCTCCTCACAACTGAGGCTCAAGTGCTAGAGCACAAACTAGCCTTAAGAAAAAAGAAACCTCAGGGACAGCTTCTAGGCCCTTCGTCTAAGTCCCATGATGGGCATTCACAAAACAAAAAGTGCATTCAACCCTGTCTCAACAACCACCAAAACAAGGTGGGTAAGGTGGTACATGCTACTATCCCAGCTATGGCAGGAATGACAAGATCACAGTGCACACTGACTTAGGCAAAAACTCAAGACCCTATGTTAAAAATAACCAGGAGGCATGGTTCAAGTGGTAAAGCATCAACCTAGCAAGGATTAAGCCCTGAGTTCAAACCTCAGTGCTACCAAAAAAAAAAGTAGGGAATATTTATGGAGGGATTACTAAGTGCCAAGTAGCATTCAATATCCCACCAGTTCTTAGCTCAAAATCCTTCCAGAGTTTCTGAAGAGTACTTAAAATAGCCAGGTGCTGTGGCTCATACCTGTAATTCTAGCTCCTCAGGAGGTGGAGATCTGAGGGCTGTATTTAGAAAAACCCTTATCTCCAATACACTATTTAGAAAAAGCTGGGAAATGGAGATAGGGCTTAAGTGGTTGAGCACTAGCTTTGAGCAAAAGAAGCTCAGAGACAGCACCCTGGTCCTGAGTTCAAGCCCCAGGACTGGCACACAAAAACAAATAGCACTTAAGATGAAAATTCTTGTTCATAGCCTACTAATCTAGCATGACCTGATTCTGCCCTCAAGCTCACTTCATCACCTGTGTCTTCCTGCCTTGCTCCTGTATTTGGCCAAAACAGCACTCGAACTTTTCCAAAAGGCAAATTCATCCCTGTTCTAAGGGCTTTGAACAGGCTGTTCCCTCTGCCTAGACTACCTTCCCACACAGACCTCTGCAGGACTGGCTCCCTCACTGGATTTGAACTCAAAATGTCATTCCACAAAGCATTCCTGCCAGGTGCATGAGCCTCACACCAGTCATCCTAGCTACTCAGGAGGCTGAGATCCAGAGAACTGAGGCTCAAAGGCAGCCTGGACAGAAAAGTCTGGAAGACCTTTCTAATCAGCCAGCAAAAGCCAGGACTGATATAACAAATGCACAACAAAACTGAGTTCCTTTTGCCTCCTCTCGCTCCCTATCATGCTCACACTGAGTTCTTTGCAGGCTTTCAATCTTTTCATTCACCATGTTTACTAGTAGTGTTTGTAGAG